ATTTTTTTTTTTCAAATGACAGAGTCAGATCAAAAGAGAATTCATACTTTACTTCGCGAATTACAAAGTTTAATTAAAAATGCGCAGGAACAATGGGGCATTTCATTAACAGGGCAGGGAACTGTTAACGACAAGCTTAAAGCATTTGCACCTGTTGCTAATGGTACCACTTATGCTAAATTGTGTTAAATTCGTGTTAATTTTGAGTTTATTTGATAAATTGACTGTCATTTTTTTTAGCTGTTCATCCTCTTGGGCCTGTTAATATAGTCGGATTATCTACAGAATTCTCACAAAAAATTGCTTTGATACGTTCAACAATATCTAATTTTCGAAATACAACTGTACATGATATATCACAACTCAATTTGAGTATCGGAACTGATCCGTTATTAAAAAAATATCAATTAGCTTTACAGGTAAAAATTAATTTCTTAGCATAGTAGTTTATATACTTCGCATAGGTTTTTACCTTCTTTAATTATAAGGAAGAATCCCTTCGTCTCAATACGGTTTCTGAAGTTCGGGAAAATATCAGGATCTGTAAAGAATTAGCTTTAGATACATGCCAAAATAGTCAGGACACGTTTAAATTCGTAATTCAACAGACGAGTGATTTTGGTAAACAACTTGGGTGTGTCTTCGATGTATTATTTTATCTTCATACCATTTTATCTTCTAACTTTATTATTATTAGACTTAAGGTGTGGGATGTAGAAAAAGGTCATGGTTCCACTCTTAGATTAGCGATAAGTGGATCTATTTGCGTAATGGACGTAAGTTAATATTAAACTAGTGTTCTCACAAGAATACTCATAAGAATAATAGTTATTTATCATTTCTATGTAGATCGAATTTGATGAGACAGCACATAAAATAGTTCGAGTCACAATTACTTATACGCACACGCCTAAAGATGACGATCGCGTGCGTTTATTTATTATTTGTAATGCAGCAATTTTTATAATCATCATCTTCAATTGACATTTGTCCATAATATCTGCAAAGATTGACAATTTGCTGACATACAACTTAGGTATATTCAGCCTAAATTTCCTTAATTTGGTGTATTTTTTTTTAATTACCGATTCTAATATTTGATTACTATATAAGCAATTTCCGGTATTTTAAATTGTTCAAAAAAAATCTTCAAGCATTGGCAACATTAGATACATTATCTAAAATATATAATGTGGACTGTTTTCACTGTATAAAATGCATATCTAATGATATCAAGTCAATTTATGAAAAAGAATTGTATGTTTTATATTATCAAGTATATCAATTTATATAATTTATTATTCTGTTGCCAATTAAATGCTAATTCTTTCCTTATTGTTTAGTTCTGCTTTGAGTGGTGATATACAAAAAATTTTAACTGATGGTCATGGAATCCCATTGTTTCATGTGGAGCGAGTTGGCCCTTCTATTGCTTATTGGGCACCCAAATCTCGCATTTGTGAAACAGATTGGAATAATGTTAAGGATATTGTTGCGAAGGGTAGCAACTTCATATATATTTTCCTATTACATTCTACATTCTACATTCTATATTCTTATAGAGTAAAAATACCAAATACTTGATTTAGGTGACAATTGTGAGAGTCTCAATTCATTCTATCAATTATGGATCATGATGGAAGAATCTCGATCAAGAAATACGTTTCTTCCCATGGAGAGAAATCATTATTTAATCGAAGAAAGCGATAATGTAGTTGATTTGTTTGAAAGGTAATTTATTTAATTTGCATTATATACTTGTTTTATGTGGTTAATAAATTGTTTATTTCACATGTAATCACATATAAGTTATGACTTCATGCCCCAAGAATTTACGTTTCCACTGCTTCCAACACCATTGAAGTTCTTACAGCAACCAAAAGATGGTTCACATACGTCGGCAAACATACAATTTGTTTTATGGCTTTGTCCACCAGTATACGTTGCTGACACTGTGGCCAAAGAAATTGAAGATTTAATTTGTATTGTTATGCCAGGATTTTTTGGGAGCAGAATTATGACAGATGATCCTAAAAGTTTGTCGTTGGAAGAACTTTTGGTACGCATTATCAACACATTTTCTCGTTAATATAAAATAAATTGTTTACATTATAATTATAATTTTAGATATCAGATATAGTTCCACCAGTTAGGATGGCTCGTGGGTCGGCTATGATAAATATTAACTGTGAAAAAGTATTCATCACTTTAATATGATGTTGACCATTTTTTATTCTATTAAATATAACATTATTATTATTTTTATTTTAATAGAAATTTGAAGATTCTCCCTATTCTCACATATATATTTTAGATAACAAAAAAACAAATGCTAAAACAATTGAGCGTATTCCTTTCATTTATCCTTTTCAAAATTTTAATTTTACTGCGGTTTGTTATGGTCATGATTTATTAAATTGATTTAATAATATGAATAACATGTATTAATAGAATATTTTTGTATTTTATTAG